TTATTTTTTAATTTTTTATATAAATTAATAATAAAAATATTTTAAAAATACACTTTTAAAAAAAATCTTAATATAAATTACTAATTAGTACCAACTCAACATTGATGTAGGATAAAAAATACCACCTTATTGTCATATATGTTGAGGGGTTGATTTGCCACTATTCACTGAATACAGGGGCTGATTTGCCACTATTTACTGAGTACAGGGGCTGATTTGTCACTATTCACTGAGTACAGGGGCTGATTTGCCACCATTCACTGAGTACAGGTGCTGATTTGCCACCATTCACTTAGTACAGGGGTTGATTTGCCACCATTCACTAAGTACAGGGGCTGATTTGCCACTATTCACTGAGTACAGGAGTTGATTTGCCACCATTCACTTAGTACAGGGGCTAATTTGCCACTATTCACTGATTATAGGGGCTGATTTGCCACCATTCACTTAGTACAGGGGTTGATTTGCCACCATTCACTTAGTATAGGGGCTGAGTTGCCACCATTCACTGAGTACAAGGGCTGATTTGCCTTTTTTTCCTTCTTTTTTTTTTTTTAAGATTTGAATTGTCCGGTGTAATTTCGATGTACCGGCCTAGTAAGCAAAATACCGGTTGGTACACCGAAATTTGTCCAAAAACCAAAGTTTGACCGAAATAAATTTTAACCTTATACATTTCAGTTTAGTTTAAAATCCGGTACATACCGGCTGGTACGAAATGGATTTAACTACTTTGATTCAAACCATTTTTTATCTGAAAAAGTTTGGCGCATTTATACTGTGTTTCAATGCCAACAATTTTTAGACTGTTATTAGTCCAAATAAAAATTTCACCAAAAACTAACCATTTAGTCCTAGTCATTAAATGTTCAGACTAATTACGATTCAAATTAATTTATTTTTTAGGGCCAACATTAATCAGTCTAAATTATATCGGTCTAAATATTCATTATTTCTAGTAGTGTATCTTAAAAGTACATTTTTAATGTTAATTTGTATTAAAAAATAAAAATTAGCTTTTATTTAATTACTTGTCTAATTAAAATATTTTATGTGGGATTGATAGTGAAATTAATATTGGCTTTTATAATTTTAATATTAATTAATATAAAAATTGTATTATTAATTACACTTGCAAGTTGGAAAAATCTTTTATAGAAAACCTATTTATCACATCATCCTGTGAAACTAGTAGTCTAATAAACTGGTCGATCCAACTGGAACAGGAGATCAAAATGGGTTGACCTTGGGTTTAAAAACATGGTTAAATACTAATTTTGGTTCTTCAACTTTATTAAGTTGCACTTTTTTGGTTTCTAAACTATTTTTTGCACTTTTTTGATCCCTCAACTCTAAGAACTGTACAATTTCGGTCTTTTTGTCAGTTTAGGTCGTTAACTCCGTCCACATGACATTTTTTTATATTTTTTTAGGACATGGAAAAAATAACTTAAAAAGCTACTGGTATGGACAAAACATTATGTCAGGTGGTATTTTTTTTATTTGTTTTGATGACATGGATAAATATGCGTCCTTATCACTTCTATTTGGAAAATTAAGGGACGCACTTGCCTAAATTCATTATTTATTAAATTAAAAGTTTTAAAACCTTTGGTCTCCTCTTTTGTTTCCGGCTTACCTTTCTCCATTCTCCACTGCTCTCTTTCTCTTCCTCCTTCTTCTTCACCTCTCTCTCTCACTCTTTATTCCTTCCACATCATAGAACCCAGTGTTTTGGGTTCGCTCGAACCTAGATTTGGGTTCCGCAGAACCTAGCGATCTAGGTTCGTCTGGGTTCAAATGAACCCAAATTGTTGGGTTCTATGGAACCCAGAACTAGGTTTTGCAGAACCCATAATTGGGTTTAAGAAGCCCAAATTTTTGGGTTTTCAAACCCATGTTTATAGTTTTTTTTTTTTTTTGATGGATTTTTGTTTCAAATATTGTGGTTGTGGGATGGCAATTTAGTTGTTTAACCTATTATGAATGCTGAAAAATTTTGTTTATATGTTTTGGTTTGGCTATTTCCCTTGTGAGTATGTGATCATTAAGCTGGATTGAAGTAGTATGAATTTTTAAGGTTTTGATTTGGTTTTGTTGCAGAGTTAATCATCAGTGTCGAGAAAAAACTTTGCAAGAAAGAAATTTATTGAATCTTGGTTTTGGTTTTGTTGTTAGATTTCATTTTGATTTTATGCAATAAAAAAGATTCTATTGGTTTGGTAAAAGTTTAGTTATGATTAATAATTTAATTATATAAATTAATGGGTGTTTTTTTTTTTAATATTGCTGGATAAGTTTTAATACCACCACGTAAGTATTTTTTTTCAGTTGAGCTATCCATGTCATCATTTTTTCCAGTTGGATTGTCCATGTCATAAAAAAAATATAAAAAATGCCACATGCATGGAGTTAACGGCTTAAAGTGATGGAAGGACCAAAATTATGCATCTCTTAAAGTTAAGGGATCAAAAAAGTGCAAAAAACAGTTTGAGAACCAAAAAAGTGCAACTCGCTAAAGTTGAGGGACCAAAATTAGCATTTAACCTAAAAACATTGATTGAGTGTTAAGGATTTTAAATTTGAGTAATAAATATGTGAGGGGAGAGAATTAAAAAATACAAGAGCATTATCTTCCATTATTATGCAAGATAAAACTGAAGAAAAGAAAAAAGACTACAATAGTGTGTGTATATATACATATATTTTGATCTAGCAGTCGGTTGATGTGTTGTTAGGTTATTAGGTTAGTTTATATATGCTTTGAAATGAATCTGTAATATCCCGAAATTTCTGGAATTTTAGCATTAAGTTAAGGATTAAATTGTGGAAAAATATTGTTTTTGGCTTAATAGCCAAAATTTTAAAAGTTGAGGGACTTCAAAGAGGAAAATTGGATAAGGGTCAGTTACTTTCCTTTTTCTTTTTTTTCTTCTTTCTTTCTTCCCCAGCCATTTCGCGTTTCTGCTCTTCCCGACCCCCCTGCAACTGGCCGAAGGCCCCCAAGCCCGACGCACCTCCACTTGAAGAAAAAATTGGTAAAAGCTTGATTTTATCCTTCTTTTCTTGTTCAAGAACCAGATTTGGAGCTTGGAAATCTTTCCCCTCTGCAGAAAATCCCGGATCTGCTCGGTTTCTCCCCTCCCCTGTCCGCGAGTTGCAGCTTGTGGGTGCGAATTTCTGGGCATTTTCGGTAAGCTACAGCCATGGGTCTCCTCCTTTTAGCCTTAAATTAACTTGGGTTACTCTAATTTGTGCTTTTGGTTCTTGAATTTTGGGTAGCCGTGAGTTTCCCCCTGCAGATTGCCGCCGGCTTCTTCTCCCTGCCAGCTCCGGTTTTACTTGTTAAATTCTGGTATGGACAGCCCTTTAAGCCTAAAATTATTCATTTAATTTGCTGCCTTGTGATGTCCGAAAATCTGCAGAAAATGGAGATGAATTTCGGTAGCTTTAGGACAAAATTTAAGCATTTATTCAAGTGGAATTTATGTCATTGAGTGTTAATTGACTGTTGTGATTTTTGGAGAGAAAATCCCGTGAGATTAGCTATGGTTTTGTCAATTTATGGAAGTGCAGTTACTGTTCATTGCGTGGTTACTGTTTACGGGCACTGTTCACGCACTGATGGCCAACAATTAACGGGGATTTAAATGATTAGTTTGTAATATAAGAATAAATTTGGAGACTGATAGAAATAGTATCGTGATTAGGGGTAGTCCTAATGATGATTTCAGTTTAAGTTTGTGATAGTGCGAAATTAATTCTTGGATATTTTGATTAGGTTCCTGATCGTTCTGTCAGTTTAGCACTGAGATCGAGTATTCGGTTTTATGCAAGTGAGATAAGTAAATTTATGGTAATGCCCGTACAGTTTTTAAAAGCATGTTTTGATTTGTTTTTAAAGTGGTGGCGGGACTTAACCCGTTTTGCACAAACATGAACATGACTGATTTGAAATAAACTTTTATGCTTTTCATTAAATTGAGCATGCCTACTTGAAATTTAATTGATTGTCCTGATGATTTGAAAGTGATTGGTGAATTATAATTTTTCTATTAACTTCTGCCTGTTTTGTCTCCAATGTGGTCATGTTATTAGTGACCCTGCTAGTGGGGGTTAAACGCTAGTACATGTCGACATGTTTATTGATATGATCGGTAAATTCTGACGCCTACCAATGGGCAAACACATTGGTAAATTCTGACGCCTGCCAGTGGGTGTTATATGCTGGCCATGACTTATAGAGGAGACGTCTATTTCGTTTTCGTACCCGTATCTGTTTTTTGTGATTATACTTGTTGGCATGCTATAAGTTTAATAAGGGGCACTCCATATTTTACTTACTGAGTTCATTTCATAGTTTTTCCTTGTCCACCATTTCAGGAAGCGAAATCGAGGACGGGGAACCCACGGGAAGTGACGAGTTAGAAGGCTAGCCATTTCGAGATTGACTAGATTTTAGATATAAATCGTGATCTTGTAAACAAGATGGGATTTGGGGATTTTATGATATCAGAGTAAATTTATAATTTTATCTTCAGATTTTGATGGTGTCAGATGTGAATTGGATAAGTTTCGAGCCTTGTGCATTTGTGGGACCTTCTCACAAGTGTACGGCGTTTGTCGTGTCTCGGATTTGAGTTCTGGGGCGTGACAGAATCTCTCTTTGATTTAGTCAAAGATAAGTTATCCATGTAAGTAGACCTGGCAAACGGGCGGGTTGGGTCGGGTCAGAACGGGTAACGGGTCAAAACGGGTTGGGTTAAAACGGATCACGGGTCAATGAAGGAAGACCCTAACCCACCCATCACGGGTCATGGGTCAACCCGCGGGTTGACCCAATTAAATTTTTTTTCTTTTTTTTCTCTATAATTTGTACCTATTATCATTCAAA